AGTATAATTTTAATTTTTATGTTACATAAACATTATTAAAATTGGTATATTTACGTTTTGATAACAAGATATATTTAATAATAATATGAAAATAATTTATATGATTAATAATTATTGTGAATAATATTAATCTGTGATGTATAATTGAAATTAATTAATAATTATTTTCAATTTATATTTATTAATATTAGTAATATTTAAATTTTATTTATAATTAATAGTAATAAATAAAATTAATGTTAATGAGAGTTATAATTAGAAAAAGTGACAATAAGCTACCGAAACGCTACTCCAAGTAGCGTTTCAATAAGCTAGCTTATGTGCATCGAAACGTGTACCCAGAAAATAATCTAGCTTATTTTTACCAAACAAAGTCTTTGTTTTTGAAAAAAGTTGTTATTTATGTACCAAATGTTTTATGTAAGCAATTTTAGGTTCATGATTTGATATCTGATTAGGGTGGATCTATATCGCATAGAAGGTATACTCAAATTGTAGCAGTAGTATATAATCAGCTTTTTTTTATTAGAATAGTGCACACACATATTACCATAAAAAAACCTGGATTTACCACCTCAACAAACGTTTCTCTCCAATGGAAATTATGAGACAGATATCAGTCATTTATGAGTCATCTGACTTAATTTTCTCTATACTAATCTAAATAATATTTTTTTCTAAACTCGGTGTTATGTTATATATTTAAAAAAATTATGACATAAAACTGTATGCATTTACATCAACGTCATGAAAATATGTATCCTCGTTTATTTTTCTTTCTGTATACTTTTATATGGTAATCAACATTTCCTCTTAATATATTTATAATCAACGTGTGGTAAATTGGTATTTGACGTATCTTGTAAGGTTTTGGATTGTGTGGTGAAGATATGGAATAAGAACTAAGACAAGTTAACAGATTCCGAATCAAATTTGAACAAGAATTTAATAACTTATCTCTCTTTACAAGTTGACTAAAATCCGAGCTAATTTTATAAGCGGAAATACATATAGCACAGACGAAAAGCATTGGACTTACATGTTCCACAGTGTGTAAAAAGTACATGCCGTAAAATACAGTTGCAGAATTTTTTACTGCAAAATATACAAAATAAAGATATGTTGTTTTAACACACCCTAAAAGTTGCTATGAAAGTGTACAAACCAAACCAGATGAAACAAGCCTAATATATCGTATCCGTAGTGATTTTGACAAAATTCTGGATCCGTTGTTGAATGAAATTGTACCAACTCATATATGTTTGTGATAAATTTTTTTTGATTAACCTGGATATTCAATCCGCTATGCGAGCCGACTAATCCCAGTACGACCACCTGCTTTGTAGATAGTATGGAGTCACCGCATTTGAACATCTGTGGCCACAAGGGGATTTTTATTCCTACTTGGATTTGAACTTGGGACCTCCTGGTACTTTTGATCTTTGGAGTCAAGCTCAAACCAACCAGACACCCGTGTCAACCAATATAAATTAATAATTGTTATCATACAGAATAATGATTTTTTAAACATTTTGTTATTGCTATTATCATTCTTTATACTTATTTATTATTGACAATTTTAGTCCCTATGGTTTATAAAAATTGTCCAACGTGCTTCAATAAGTACAAAATAGTCACTATCATCGATTAAAATGTCATTAAGTGAGGAACATTTTCATCCGTGTATCTATTTCTTTAATTTTTCTTTAAAAATATATTACATTAAAATATTTATTTTATATTAAATTATAACCTAGAAAAGGGTGATAGATGTATCGATTGTTTGTAATCAAATAAACATATATGATGTTACTAAATTGTTCTTGACAATAGAAATGTCTCTTTCTACTGAAGGCCACCATGGGGCATCTTCAAGTTCTGCTTATGTGAACAGATGTTACAGTTTTTTATGCATAAGGTACAACACAACAAGTTAACCACTTTGTACTTGAACTAGCAAGTAGGGTCGAGCCCTTTTTTCCTACATAGCACAGAGGTCTATTACTGGACAGAGCTCATCTTTGACCATTTCTTTTAGGTTTTAAAATTTAAGTTCGATTAAGGTTTCAGATTTGGAATCTAGTTGAGTTTTAGAATTTGGTTTGCCGGAAAAGATGACCAAAGTTGGTTGTCGGACATTTTTAAGCATGTTTACATCGAAAACTATTTAATTAAAAAAAATACAAAAAGAAAAGATTAAAATGCCTCTCACGGATATTTTCAACAAAGTTAGTGTCGGAAACCGCTTTCAAAGCAGACGTTAATAGTTATTTCCGTACTTATTGAAGCATAGGGACAATTTTTGTAGTTTTGTATAAACAATAGGGACCAAAATTGTAATTGACTCTACTGTTAAACTACTATATTTCTACTATACCCCCCACCCCCCACATCTCCTTGCTTCTCTTCACTTGTATTAACTCCCTCACATCTCCATTCTTCTCCCTTTGCTTCATATCTCTTTGCAAATCCTTTAATGGCAGATAAAACCCTCTTCAACCCTTGATTGGTTCATTCACTGAATCTTCAATCTATTTCGATTGTTTTCTGATCTGATTTCTCACTACTTCATCTTTAGATCGAACCCTTCAATCTTTGACTCTTAAAACATCTTATTACAAACCTTTTTCATTTCTTCACTTGAAAAATCTGCTTCGTAGCAAAACCCATCGTCTTGTTCATGGGTTTTCGTTGGTTCCTGTGATTAAATCGATCAAGTAAATCGGTAGTTCAGAAATGGGTGTTTGTTTAAAGATTCAAATGGTGGTTGTGTCTTATCAGTTCAGCTTCATTTGGTATGTGTTCTTTCTTTCCCTCTCATCGTACGTTGTGTTGTTAGATTGATTGAAGATTCAATCCTTTATTTGGATTTCTGCTTCTTTCTTCTTTGGTTTCAAATCAATTTGATTTGTGTGTTCTTAATTGATTTAAGTCGTCTGTTTAGGTTAAATCCAGTTCTTTGTTACAGTTTCGATAATCTTATAAGGTTTTCTGGGTATTGAAAAACATTTGACCTCAAAAGGGTTCAGACTTATAAGATTTGACATAGATTCAGTGGGGTCTTATCTACAAAATGTTCTTGATCTATGACAACATTGAACACAATTCTCTTCATGTTCAGAGGTAAACAACTCATTTTGCATTCAAGAATCAAATGTTTGACTTTTTTTGAAGTGTTTGCTTATTGGTTTGATTGATTCTCTGTTGACCAGAAACTGCTGAATCCATTAAGGGGCTTCAGTGGCTAAGGTTTAAGAATGAAGAACATCAAGATTTGTGCTTTTTATGATGAATTACAGTTCCAAGATTCTGTTGTTTGAAGCTTTCTCTTGTTAGTGCAAAGATTTCTTGACTGTTTATGGTTCATTTCGTTTCGTCTTTGTAATGGTTTCTTGATTCCAAGAGGTGTTGTGTTTATGATGATTGTCCTTAGGTTCTTTTGGTTAAATGACCTTCTCATAGAGTTCGAGAATGCCACAACTTAATGGAACAATGCATTGTTCCGTACACAAGAATGCCTAAAAACATGTCAAGAAAGTCGGTGATCTGAAAATCACTGTCGGGACAGGTTCTTTTTAATGAAATTCATGACCTTTTAACAGAACAATGTCTTTTCCACACACAAGAACGTTTAAAAACCTGTCGGGAAGTCATGGGTTTGAAAATCACTCGGAGGTCATGTAGCTGAATAACCCATCCTACTTCAACATTGAAGGGTAGTCCAAGCATTCGACTTTGTGAGTTTATAATCATCCAAAGTGACACCAACCGCGAATGTAGTTTTGACACACTTTTTAACTGAAAACCAATCGGAAACGAGTGAAGATCGTATATACTTTGTGTGTGTGTGTGTGTGTGTGTTTTATTTGGCATTATGTCTCATTGTCGATTGATATTTTGATGTCAACTGAAGTGTCTTGTTCCGATTTGATGTCAATTGGAGTGTTTAGTTTAGTTTTTTCGGTTTTTTGGAAACAAAGTGTTGAGTATAATCTTTGTTTGCTCATACTCAAACAACCGCTCTGCTTTTTGGAGTAGAAGTCAGGTCTGCCTACTGATTAGGATTTATTGGGTTCGTTTGGTTTTGGTTTTCCTTGAGATGCATCGAGGAATTTAGCTATGAATGTTTGTTGCAGATTTCACAAGAAGATTGTTCGAAGTTGTCATCATTTTAAGCATTTGTAGAATGGGTAGAGGTAGGGGAAAAGCGAAGAAAAGTTCAGTCATCGCTCATCATGAAGATGGAAGTGGGGAAGAAGAAAAGTTGCCGGTTAAGCGAAGAGGAAGACCCACAAAAGCACACAAAGAAGAAGAAGAAGAAGAAGCCGAAAAGACCGATGAAAACAAAGACACTAAACTCGAAGCTGCATTAGAGAACGGAAAAAAGAGAAAGAAACCATCTTTACAGACCGAGGAGAACCCGGAAACCGTAAAAGATGAAAACAACATCGAACCCAAAGCCAACGGCCACGACTTGACCAAAGCCGTGGGGTTTAGACACAATGGCAGCAGGCGGAAAAACAAGCCACGAAGGGCGGCGGAAGTCGGGGTGAGCGCGTGCGAGGTCTGCAGCTGGTTGGTGCTGAGAAGCTGAGAAAATTCGGTTTCGGTTCTGGTTTTTCGGTTTTCGGTTTTCGGTTTGGATGATGATGAAATCATAAAGGGTTCTTTTTTTATGGTATTTCTGAACTTCATTGTAATGCTTAGATATGTGATCTTGCTACAGACTTTTTGATTTATATTGAGAATTTTTGCACAAGGTTTATAATATCAAATCAAGTTTTGATGAAATCATCTTGTTTTTTTCTTAAGTTTGGTGCAAATCATAACTTCATTGTCAAAACATAAATATAAATTCTTCAATTAAAATAATTAAACTGTTTGGCAATTACTGAATGGTTTGGTGCAGGATGATTAAGAGACTCTCATGATATATTGCAAATATATATATATAATTGTTTGGTAATTGTGTACAATGAAATTAAGGCTCTTAATGGTTAAGGGAGATCCATGATACAAAATCATTCAAAGAGTTTTAGAACCATTAAGAGACATATTTTTTTTGCCAAACTAGATTCATCTCTTAACGATTCAGATGTTGACTCTTAATGAAACTATTAAGAGGTAAACAAACAACCTCTTAAAATCCACTTTTTCAAACCAAAATATGACTTGAAATACGAGAAAATGTATGTATACATCTTATCTTTAAATTATGTTTGATTTGATGAGATTATTGAGAGATTTGGATTTGGAAGTGTTTGAAATTGTTTGGTTTGGAATGAAATTAAATTTCATTTCTTTATAAATAATTTATATTTATAATTAAATTATTTTTTTATTAATTGATTATTACAAAACAAATCTTTTAAAAACATTATTACATACAAATCCTATAAAATCCCATAAAATACCAACCACCCAATGGGGTTTCAAAATCATATGTTTGTAGGATTTCAAATAAAAAAAAAATTCAAACCAAACATGAAATTTGAATGAAATTCAATTCCAAATTTAATTGAATCCTACAAACCAAATGAGACCTAAAGGTCCGTTTGGTTTGCATGATTTAATGAAATTTCGTGTTTGGTTAAAGGAAAATCTAGAATTGTAATATCAAGATTTCAATAAAACCCTACAAACATGGAATTTAGAAATTCGATTGGAGTAGTTGATATTTCACACAATTTCATAAGATTTATTTGTAATAATGTTTTAAAATATGTTAAAATCATTTGTTTTATAATAATCAATTAATAAAAAGTAATTTAATTATTATTATAATTATTTATAATTGAGGCCAAGAGACCAACTACGTGTAACAAATGAAGTCCAAGGAAGTGACCAAAAGTGTACTTTACTCTTAATATTATTAATTCCACCATCGCGTAGTGTCAGGAAGATGCATGCAGACCTTATCTCTACCGTAAAGAGCAGAGAGGCACATGCTACACTGATAAACATAAAACATGTGACCATTCATCATGAGTTTCAGTAAACAAATGTTTGTAAGGACTAGATTTTAGAAACCAACTGTGCTCAAGTCGTAACAACTAATTCCGACTAAATTGCTGTCGCTATTTCAGGCACCGGCATTGCTCAACATGTTGTTGATCTCTCCGATGATCTTTACAGGCCTTCCGTCAAACATGGATGAAAGCATGCTTTCACAAAGCTTCTTCAACTCTCTGGTTTTTGCAACTGCTGCTTCCTGCAGTTAGTAATCGTATAATATAAACAACTTTGTTTTCATATCCGTATCTCCTCGAGTTTTGTTGACTTTTCCTTTCACCACGTCAAGATACGTACAAGCCTCCCATCTCAAGTATGCAAAGACTCATGACAATTGTTTAATTCACATATGATTATGCTTAAGTCATATACTTCCAGAAGTGGAACTCAAGATTTCTTGAAGTCATGCAACATGTTTCTTCTTTAGGGTGCATTTGGTATGCGGATGGGACTAACGGACGAGAATGAGGTAGGGGGTTAAAAAATCATGGAAGGTTTTAGCGTTTTAATTTGACATGGGTAGTTTAGTAATTTATCAATCTTGTCTCATCTCCCTAATTTTTGCTGCACCTATTTTGGTGGGCTCAACCTCATTCCTGTCAAGTCTAATGTCTCACCAAACATGGGACAAGTTTCTAAATTTCTATCATGTCATGTCCCATCCAGTCCAATGTGGTAACAAGCGTACCCTCAGTCACATGAAATTGCAACAATTTTATTTGGGGATGTTCAATAAATGTTACAATATTCTTCCTTTTTTGGGAAGTCCCCAAGCCATTTACTATATTGATTTGGGTCCATAGGAATCTCCTCGGCATTTTAAAATTTGAAAATAATATAGAATTTCTTTAAACTATGTGACAAGTTAACATTGCAATTTTGATGAAGTTAAGGAAGTATGCAATCACGAAATGCCTGTCATTTGAAGAATATGACACAGTAAAACTTTGAAAAAAAAATACTTGGTAAATTTTGTCAGCCAATAGGGAGGAAAAGCTACTCACTTGCTTAGGCCAGACTGAGGATAGTGAGTTTTGCAGCTCCATGCGTTTAATTGCCAAATCGTTTAACCCCTCTTTCAGCTTCGCCTCATGATGCTTCTTTTCTTCCAGTGTACTCACTAATCTTTCCAGAAATCTAAAATTCAAATGATCAAGATAGTCAAAGATCTTTATTAAACAGCATGACCAAATCTAAAATTCATGCCGGAGGAGAAGCTTTGTGGGTATTGCATATGATAAAGAAAATCAGGTAACACACCTTTTAGAGTTGAGAATCATAATGAGGTCCCTTGTTTTCCTATTTGTGAGCAAGGAAATGGCCGAAGAGACATCAGATAACATTGATTGGATAGCATCAGAAGTGAACTGCTGCATCACAAATGGAGCCATTGCTTGAACTTGATGTTGCAAGGACAACGTCTCTGTATTTGTCAACTCCATGATTCTTTGATTCAGAAATGCTTTAATCTGAAACCAAAAATGAGAATGATACATCAACTAATTACGTTGCAAACTCAAATCTCACACATAAGTTGTCAGATTCTATGAGCTTATTCTAGCTGCGGGACTTCATGGAAACAGCAGCTCTACCCTTTGAGATAGATGTCAGGTTTGTGTACATCCTACCCTCCCTGGACCCCACCTCTAGATAGGATATACTGGCTCGTTTGATTTGGTTTTATGAGTTTACTTGACCATCTTTATTACTAACACAATTTCTATGCTGCAAAAGTAGTACCAGATTGTGTGCATGGAACTCGTTGTCCTTCTCTTAGACCAATCCATGAGAAAGAAAAAACAAAATATGAGGATGGCATGAGTATTCCATTATTGCCATAAGTGCTTTCTAAATTCTAATCACTACTACTTGATGAACATGTAAATGCATGGGTAGTTATATTTTTTTTTTAACTTTCAAATAGGGTTTCTTGTTCTTTTGGTACAGAGAAAACAAGTGGTGCGAAAAGGCTAATCTAATACAGCATCAACAAAAAGATCAAGTTTGTACCTCAAACAGATCATCGAGAATCCTACTCCTGTACTCCGTATCCAGAAGCCGACTCCTGACTTGGCTGGTTCCTTGACTTCCTTTTAGAACATTTATCCCTGATGCATGTTCGCCTGGCAATATGTCTGTCGAGGCACTATTTTGAGTCGATTCAACTTGAGTATTTTCAACACTGATATCCCAAGAGATTTCTGAGACTACGTTTTCACTAATAGTCTCATCAGATTCTATGCCGTCAGAACTTTGTGGAATTTCACTGGCATCCACAATTTCATAGGGACCCAATCCATTACCAGTATCTTCCACAGTGCCAATATCCCAATCGATCTGAGAGCTATCCAAAGTAATATCCCAGTCAATACTATAAGCTACAGGATCAGCATCAACAGTCATCTGTGTTGGTTCACTAAGACTTGTTTGAGCATTAACAGAAGCAAGCACTTCGGAAGCCACGGAAACTTCAAGAGAAGGAGGGTTATTAATGATGTCCCTTAAATTTAGCAATACAGTCTCTGGAATTTTCTGTGTAAGAAAAAATTAGCTGTTATTAGTGAAAGGTTGTGGCATCCTCATATGCTATAAACAACAAGAATAAATTTTGATGAGAACCTACATCCTTCTCCGTGTGAGCATCTTTAACAAAATTAGAATAGAATTCAATTGCCCGTGAAACAGAATCACATTTCAAAACTTCGAGCATTTTGCTAAATGTGCCAGGCAGTGAATTTGTTGCAGTTTCTAATAATTCCAGCTTCACATTGATTCCCTGAAACACATAAACAGGTTAATTGTTATAAGAGAAAGCATCATTCCAAATCAATTGTTCTCATGTGATACAAAATTTACAACCTGCAGTCCTAATTCCTGACAGGCGTCTGCATACTTAGCAGCGGATGAAGCTGCATTTCTTTTTATCTCAGCTTCCTTACGCTCTAGCTCAGCAAGCTGTTGTTGGGTCCTTTGGACCAGCTTTTTCTGATAGGGGCTTCAAATAATAATCAAAACCAATTAGTGCTAACAATAAGTATGGCCACATAGACATGTGAGTTCTTTATTTTGTAGTTCGATCAAAATGGAGATCAGGTGCCGACATACATTTCATAATTTACATTTTGGACCATAACCTGAGCAGCCTCACCAAGGTAGATATAATCCTTCTCAAAAGCACGTACAATTGCTTCCCAAGCACCCTGCCCAAAGTTGGAAGTGAAGTAAAAAACAGGTTTTTAACACTTTGGCTTAGAAAAAGACGAGACTATTTTGTTGGGTCTTACAGCAGCACCTGAAAGCCGTCCAAAAATATTGCGGCTTTCTGGAGTTGATTTCAGAAGAATATCGTATATTTTCCTAGCTTCCAAGTATCCAATCCCTGGCAACAAAAAATAATATTATTTCTCCTATGAAAGAGCAAGTAAAAGAGTTCGGGCCATGAAAGATGGAATGTAGTCAGTTGGTGAAACCTTGACCTCAATTTATAAATGCCAATGATATTTGTATGATACATGATTGTTTGTTGAACGGCCAGAAGCCCTTGATCTTTAGTTAGATTAGTGTAGATCAGATGTACAGCAAAGTATGGCAAGAGAAAGGCAAAAAATAAATAACTAAACATAAAAGCAAGAACCATTATTGTGTTGTGCATGTCATTCCTTAATAACTGAATTAATCATGTTGTAGTATTTGTCCCACATAGCCAGGTTGTCAATAAACATACATGTGGTTTCGGCACCCTCCTCCAGTAGCTTTTGGGAGTGAGTTCTACCCAAACCATTTATAAAACCACATCAACAAACGGCATTATCATCTCATTTTATGCAGTGGTATAATTAGAGCAACCAGTTGAAATGGATCCAAGCATTACTGACTTTGTGGACCACCCATGTGATTGTTTTAAGCACAATTAGGGATGAGACACCATAACGTACCAATTGGCATAGTTACACCAAATGATATGTTAAAACTGCTTGTGAATCAAATGCTATAATCATACTCCAATTCTTGCCTTCTACAATGACAATCAAACATGCATACGATTTGAGTATGATTTCACATGTATGGTGTATCTGTGCACTGTTTATATCTAGTTAAACAACTTCAGATGAGTAAAAGCAAATCCAGGTGTTTTCCCTTTTGGAATAGATGTAAGCACCCAAAATAGTTCAACCAACAAGCAAAACCGATAATCAACCTGATCAAGGAGATAAGTTAATTCAATTGAAGATAAGAAAGAGTGAGCTAACCATCTAGGTCTAGGGTTTGGAAGAAAGGATCGACGTCCTTAGGAAGAGACTGAAAGGCCGTAGAAATCTTGGCTCTGACCACTGCCAAACGTTTTCTCCAATCGGATGGTATTCTCTTCCGATCAACCAACCATTCTTCACCGCCATAATCAATCAATCAGCAAAAAGGATGAGGAATTGGGAATAAAACATATGATTAAGCCAAGAGAGAGAGAGTGATATACCACCAAGACGGGCGAAAGCGATGTCGATCGGCAGGTTGCGAACGTCGTCCGAATTCTGCATTTGTTGAATCAAGTCTCCGACCGACGAGACGATGTTTTGAATCGCAGGTAGAGTGCTCTCTGTAACGTCGGAGGCTCCGTCCTCCGTTTTTGGTGGTAAATGGTAATATACCAAATACAAGTAAAAGTTTATATTAAAATAAATATATTTTATTATTTTTAATAAAATTTTACCATTTTTTTTGACGGATTTTGGATTACAACTTTTTTAAACTTTATTATTATTAATTCATGTATCAAACAACATTTTAAATGTAATAATTTCAAATTCCGTATCTAATAAGAAATGGTCTTTAGTTGCATCGATATCAATAATCGGGAACCAAACAGACAGATTTCAATTTCTTAATAGATTCCATTATAATGTATGTCAACCAAACAGATAGTCAAACCTAACAACATTCTATTTCAATTCCTTTAAAGTCAAATTTGTTTAACAAATCTCATTCCATCCAATTTTACGAACCAAACGTCATCTAAGTGTTTCTTAAGTTGTTAAGTCAAAACGGCTATATGCAATAAATCAAGACCCTCACTTGAGTTGTCCCCATAAAGCCATCTCAAACAAATTGATGCTAGAAATAACCCAACCGTCTTTTCTTTGCCACTATTAAACCCATCACTCTCCAATCTCTCAGACCGACAAATTTATCCAAATGGATAATTTACCCATACAAATCCAAATGCAAAGAACCAACACAAATGTTTTTTTGGATCAACAATTTGTTGCTTAATAACCAACACAAATGCAAATGCAACGAACCTTAAAAAGCTTCTTTAATAGAAATAAACACAACCATTGTTTCAAAAAGAACTCCATTAGCAAAGTCTTGTCATATGTTCAATTTTTAACCATGGTTGTCCAGACAGCTCGACTAATCCTACAGGACCCTGGAGAACAAGAAGAAAAGTCCCATTAAGGAGGTTAGATTTATGGGTATCCTCCTAGCAAAACGATACATACTCGACAAGATAATACTGCAAACTTTAACTATCCTATCAATTGCATTGGACTTGATCCAAAAAACTGGTTTGGAATTGATTTGGAGATGCAACAGAAATCAAATGACAGAATATTGAATCAGCAGCAGCTTGCTTTATTCTTCTATTCATTCATCAAAGAAAAGGAGGAGAATGGAGTTAGCAGAAGCATTACAAGTGGAACTGCAATCAATCTTGATTCTCAACTTGTAGTACCACCACCAACCAACATAAAATACACTTCTATTCACCTTGCAGGCAATATAGTTGTCTAATGTTCCCTGAAGCTGCAATGCAAAACAAACCTTATCAATATCCATCTATAAAAAATTTCACCATATATATATATATATATATAGAGAGAGAGAGAGAGGGAGAGAGAGAGAGAGAATGTGTGTGAGTGCACGCGCGTACGTGTGAGGTTCAAGGGAAAACCCTCAAAAAATGAAAAACTGAGGAACACCCTGATAACCGTTCATTTGTATAGTATGCACATGTGCATACAAGTGATTTAAGATGTTTCTGGTTTCTTTGAACGTATGCCTGTGATGCACATGCATATACTAGAAACATTACTTACAAATTACTTGTATGCCCGTGTGCATACAAATTACTTGTTGCGGTTATACACACATAAGCACATACATACGTGCATATACATAAACTAATTTTTATTACCATATAACCAGTCTTTAAAGTAGACATGAAGTGCGCTCGATAATTCCTTTTTTCTGCTTTCTTCCAGCGGTGCTTCTTTCAGTATCTGCTTAACCTCCACCAAGTTATTTTCCTGTAACAACAATGTTATATAACACTGATCAGAACCCACACAGAAAATTGTAAGGATTCACGGATGGTCATGGCAAACGATCTCATACGTTTCTCCGCTGACAAGACATATAGACATCAGGCAGCGGAAATGGATTATCTTTGGTGGATCCAGATGCTTGACCTTCTAACCAGTTGGGAATCTGCAGTAAAACAAACAAACAAACAAAGCCATCAACCAAGAAAAGCTTAAATTCATCAACCCACTTAGAACTGAACACAATAATAACATTTGTCCATACCTATCAAACTAGACCCTACAAGGTGATTACATGGATTAGAGATGGTTCCCAGTCTTCCCATAACCAGTCAGGCCCAGAAAATTAAGGACTGATTTCGGCCCACCAGGCCCAACTTTTTGTTCTTTTATATGTGAATTATTGAAAAAATCCTATTTGAAGATTGATATGTGAACCCATATGAATACATAAGGGAAGGTGAAGGGAAAGTTTATATGTGAATTATTGAAAAATTTCATTTGAAGATCCATATGTGAACCCATATGAATACGTTATTCATATGGGTTCACATATCAATCTTCAAATAGAATTTTTTTTCGGTATGTTTCAATGATTCACATATGAACCTCCTTTCTTACCTTTTTCACATTATTTAGCCTTCTTATCATCTCACTAGATGTTATTCATATGGGTTCACATATGGATCTTCAAATGAATTTTTTTCGGAATTTTTCAATGATTCACATATGAACTTCTTTTCTTACCTTTCACATTATTTAGCCTTCTTATCCTCCCACTAGATATACATTTACTTTTTGGTTGATCTGAACGGGCTTTGCTGTGCCTGAAAAACCAGTCCTTTACCAGGCTTTTTTGGGACCAGCCCTTGGCCCAAGAAACATATCCAATTTGACCCAAAGGACTTCACTGTAGCTGTAACCAGTTCCGAACTATTTGTGCATCTCTAGACGTGATTTCAAGATGGACATGAAGCAATACTTGGGAATTCACTAGCCAACTAAGTTGGTATGAATACATACCAAGTCAGTCCAAGAAATAAGAAATGAGCATACCAAGAAGTTTGTAAACTGATCTGGGTCTAGGCGAGTAGCCGACTCAGCTTGACAATCAGATACACCAGCAGGATGAGACAGAGAATCATGTGGATCGATCAGACCCAGTGCAACAGGCTCACCCCATCTGTTTGGACTAGTCTCAATTCCAACTTCTTGCATGTGCTCCTCCAATTGTGGGTAAAATGTATTATACGGTGCCACCTGCACCAAAGTGGTAATCACTAATCAGTCCATAATATAAGAAAAGAAGTAGCTTCATCTAAAATTTAAGTTCAAAATATCAAATGTTTTTCACATAATAATGATGCATCCGACCTCCTACACCTATAACAAGCTCTGATCTTGCAAACTGTTTAAAAACTATTTATTGTGCCCTACTATTGAGTGAACATATCTAGGAGTAAGGGTATTGCAACAGAAAAATACGTCATATGACACTATACTCAAAAATTACTAGACGGACAGCTTTTATCAACGGCACCCCCAAACTGTTATTTAGAAAAGAATATTATATATCATCCAACCCTGAAGTAATATCAGTGCTATAGAAGTCGCTGTTTGTGAATCTAAAATTAATCAGTGAACAAAATTGGATAAATTCAAGGCTCTGATAATATTTTGGTATAAAAAAACTCGCTTCTTCCAGGATGAGGGCTAGGTAAGTCCAAAATTCTACAGCAATTGCCTGAATATAAACTGAAAATAAAGACGTCAATGGTACACATGCACTAAGTCGTTCATTTAAGGTTAAATATTACATGCAGAGATACCAACTACGAAAAACTAGTTAAACCTGGCTGAACTAAAGAGAGAGAAGACATTTAGAAGACAGTGTCGTATAAACAAAAGAAAACCATAATTCCTTTCTGAAAATAGGAAAGATGCCAATGTTTTACAAAAGATTACATATCCAACTCCAAAAGATATTTAATAATATTGTATATACTAATTCGTGTCTCTGACTTGGTTAATCCTTTTCGCTCACGCTTCTGCACAAGCTAGGGGTCTTCACTGAAACAGCCGCTCTACCCTTTGGGGATAGAGCCAGGACTGCGTACATCCCACCCCTCCCAGCCCCTGCTTTCGAGCAGGATATACTGGGTTTTTTGGTTTGGTTTGGTTTGGTATGGCATGGTATCGTGTCTCAATTAATGCATATAATTATCTTCCATGATTTATTAACTTATTTGTACAACATCCAAAGGATCTTACTTTTAGATGTAGGCGCATAGCATGTATGCAAAGACGTAGGTTCAAGAATAATAGTGGAACTACAAACATTTAGAACGATAAATTCATTTTCTAACGTAATCCCTGTGTTCAAAGGTAAAATCCTCATTATTATCTAGCGGTCTCACAAGAAGAGTGTCCTCATTCAAAATTAGAATAATGATCGTACTTACTTTTGCCAGTACATCGATGCTCTTTATTCACCTTTGAAGAAGTTAAAGAGAAAACAGAAATGGTTTAAGCATTCGTAAATTAAGTAACCTTTTAATGGAAAACAACGGAACAATTTTGACTTCATCACTTCAATATCCTTAACATGAAGACACTTACTTTAGGGAGTATCTTTTACGTTCTTCTCCTCTTCTATGCTATAGTATCTCATATTTTGATTAGAACTGGTCAATAATATGTCGTCAATTAGCAAATGGCATGTCAATACTTTGAAGCTTCTTAAAAAGAAAATGGTATCCAATCAACTTGGTCAATGTGCAAAATCGGAACAATTAATGTTGTAGAGATTACTAGTTAGTGTACTGACTTGATTCCTGGAATAGGGTATCAGACCCTCAATACCTTCTAAGGTTACAGACTCAAAACACAGAAGAGTTGCCGCCCATGAGGCACTTCAAATGTTGGTATTATTTTTATTTTCTTCTTTTCCGCTATTTTTTGCTGTTCTTCTTGAGTTTTATGCTTAGTCTATCGACATAATAAACCTTTAGGTAAGCAGAGAAAAAGTCATACCAACATATAAAAACCTGTAGGTGAGCAGCGGTAAAGCTATATGTGTTGCATTAAGATCTTCATGCACCACAACACAACTGAGCAAACATTCTACACTTACAATGAATTTATGGAAAAATCTCTAGGGAGAAATTCCGAACTTACTATGACATAACGTTTCAAAAAATGATGTTCCAAAAATCCCTGCTTAAGTGGCTGCCTAAACATTAAGCGTTCCATCAGTTCAACTAACTAGAGCCACTTAATAGGCCACCTAGGTGCTAGGCCCCCCTCCACTTTAATCGACCTATGCAGGTTGGTTGATTTTAAATTCCATCACTTTGGATGTTCTGATTAGGTTTAGACCCCATGATTCGCCCTACTCCACATGCCATTCTGCATGATACCACCATGAAGCACCAGTGCATGCTAACATCTACTAGATTAGAGGAGCACCACACTCAGTACACTACGTAAGACAAATAAAGCAAAAAAGGTGCTTCACATTAGGTATTTGAATTCAATAATATGTTAAAGAATTATAGCAAGCACTAAAAATGTTTAATGAAATTATGGAAGTGTGGATGCTAGATTAAAATTACTAAACAAAGAAAAGTGGAACTCTCATTAAACATACCTGGAGCTTATGGTTGTCACCGACAATAAGCGGTTGTTGGTTTACCCCCAAAAAGAATATACATTCACGACAATTAGCAACACAAATTCGCTTGGCCGCTGAAATAACATGAACCCTCTCGCAGTGTTCAATTCTTACAGCCTGAAAGAGAACAAATGTGGTAGCAGCTTGAGGGGGACTGTAGAGAGATTTAAAAAAATATATTTTTTCATTTCTACTATTTTTTGTCTTTTTCTCTCCAATGGGGAAAGTTCTTAGGCTAAGCTTTCTTATAAAGTTTGTATTATTAATCAAAAATTTATGGGAATACAGAAATATCTCAACAGAACTGATAATAAATGTTTTGGTCAAAAATAAAAGATCGATAACCACACTTAACTACAAAAAGTATTGCCACAGAAACATTTTGGATGGAAAAGCAACAAAAAGAACATTGTCACTTTTAAAAGAAGTAATGGGTCTGGATTCCTAAATTAAAACGTAAATTCTAATCCGACAAGGGATATGATGTTTAAAAATCAAAACAAAAAGGAGGCTAATTCGTTAGCTGGAATTGGAAAAAATAATATCAATTAAAAAGGATGGAAATTTGGAACCTACGTGAAATGAGGAAAGTATTTTGTGATTTTCATTCCTACAATTCTAAGAGCATGAGTGTTGTCAAACAGTCCTTTCAGCTTCACGCAGAATTACAAGTCTGTTTAGATTCAAGGAAATTGCAAGCAGTAACATAAAACTTAATTGTTACCAAGCAAGGCCTCTATGAATGAACATTTTTATGTTTAAGGCATTTAAGCACAAAACTGTTGTTTGATGAAAATTATGCACCTACAATAGCAGCAAGAGGCCGACATCTGGTTTTACACATACCTTTCCAACAGCCCCAAGCACTATAGTTGCATCAGAGCATCCATATATGGTGGCATATCTCAAAGGAGCTAAGACATAGATGACGGATTCATGGCAATTTACAACCTGCAGAGAATGAAAATAATATTTAATATTTACCTAAAGCAATTCCCTAGAGCAGTAGAGAGGACAAAAACATAGGCTCGTCGCATTTATATTCAGTTTCAGATATGATTAACGACGTTAAAAACAATGATCATGTGGATGGAAACTAATTTTTTCAAATAAATAAAAGGGTATGTCATTCAACATTCACATCATGAAACGAGCTCGATTCAGTTATTCTTGCCATAAAAAGATAATGCTCAGGCTCTGTTCACAAGTGCCCTCATCCAGACCTACTTTTATGAATATGCATCCTAACATTCACATCGCAGCCTAGTTGATGTTTGGCATCTAAATAACTAGACTTCAAAGAGCAATCCATGCTCTTACAATAACAGGTCTAACAACATCCTATAGGGAATTAAGTTCAACTTATTAGTAGGACATTCAACTCTACATGGGTATGCAAACATGAAAAATAATCAAAAGAACTCAGAGCAGAGAATGAAATGAATGGAGAAAAAGATTACTTGTTATTACGGAAAAACCGAATAAGTACAAGGTTATGTTGACCGTGACAGTGGATTCGTGAAACCAAGAATGGTTAACCTATATGTGAGCTCATAGACAGCAACATGAGAGATAACAAACAAGGAAAAGGTAGGACGGGACAGTCAACAACTAAAGGGATTAGGCAAATAACCGAGAATGGCGACTCAAATACAAGAAATATCGTTTCACGAACAAAGAAATTTAGTTATGCACGAGAATTCTGTTTCAATCTGCAACACAGTTACCTGTCACAAGAACATGCACTTTTCTCATATCACTAACACTGAAAGTTAGTTCAAAAATGTCAAAGGCAGAAACTACTCATACGGTTGAATCGGCGTAGTTTTATTATGTTTAGTACTTGCTCAGACACAGAAAAGTATAACTAGCTGAATATTATGCATGAATCATGAATGTAGGCCATGCCATGATAGATATCTAACTTCAATTATACTATTTTTATGTTGGTAACTTAATTACACAACTAAAATGTAAAGCAACGGTTCAAATCCTAAATCTTGATGATAAATATCTTCAAGTGCCCGATATCTTTTTCTAATGCCTTTTCTATGATGAGGAGGGAATAGCTATTGAATCTTATATGTTGCTCCCCATGAGAATTAACACCCGAATCAATTGCCTTAGCAGAAGTGAGCAGTGCTAATAGAAAACAGTTAACGGATAAATAATTAAGTATCTGATGAGACAATTATTGGTAAGCGTTAAGCAAACATAAAAGCAGATAAAGCTTTGATCGACAAGAATAATTTATAATTTGTCTATGATTGTTAATTGTTTGGCCATATCATGTAAACCACTTTCAATGGTTGCATGCACTCAGAATGACAGATTCTTGCAGAAGTCGGCATTAAGTGCCACTCTTTTATCAGCTAGAAATTTCAGTAAACCGAAATAAACATAATGGTAGACTGGCAGGCATAAAATTTTCACACCCCAGAACAGAAAAGGGAGGCTATCCATCTAACTTTTAAATAAAGAAGAGAATTGGATCGTTCAAAGTATTCTACAATTGTCCAAAAAAGACCTATGAGCCAAAGAATGAGCTGCACCTAGCATGAAATTTTACTAAGACTTAAAAGAATTGTTAGCTTGCACCTCAATTGAGTGAAGATCAGAGAGTGAATTGCCTTTAGTCTGATACCATCTCAGTTTCATAAACTGTAAGTCTGCTTCAGGAATTGTGAATTTTAATTTTTAAACACATACATTTGTAGTGATAAACTTGACTACATAGCATTATATTACACAACTATGGACACCAATGTCACAATATTAATATAACTTTTTGAAACCATTATAATGTAACTTTTCATTTAAAAAGAACACTTAAATTAATATTCTTTCTCATTCAAAATCTTCCATTCAACATATTTTCAAACAATTGCTTTAACGTGTTTAATATAGAATATAGACTGAACAGTAAAATAGTCGTTTCTATCATTTAGACTGTATATTCAGCACAACAACCGGAAAAAAAACTTCAGCCTAATCCATACAGACAACTAAATCCCTATGGACAGCTCATTCTTACAGAGCTTAATGAAAAAACCAACCGAACAGCCCCTGAGTTCAAATTATCAAATTGGGCTGTGGTAGGTTGAAAATCAAGCAGATATTCTGGCGACTTATACAATTTCAAATAAAAGATACATATAGTGGTCAATGAACTATACTCCTGAAAACAATGGCATCAATATGCATTTAATTAGATGTTACTATAAAGACTGCGTACCAAGTATATGGCAAAACAAAACTAACCTTTACAAAAGATCCTTTAAGTTCAGGAGCTTGCTTTACATATGATTGTTTAGAGATTCCCTCTATAAAACTGGGACCCTTGGCACTGGTTGATGCCTTCAAATTAGCACAGGCATCAGTCATCAGAACATCTTGATCAGAAGCACTGGTCTGCCCATTCTCTTTTGCAGCAACTCTTTCAGAGATTCGCTCCAATGCATCAGAAATATTTTGTAAAAGCCAATCATGAACCTGAGATGCAGGAACGGGAGCAGCTGGCATATCAGGATCTGAATTTGCAAAAAATGGTGCATTCTGGCTCAAGGGAGTTTTCTCCATTCCTTTTTCACCAAAGTAGATCAGATACCCAAGATGCTCAAACTTCTCCATTGTCAAAACCTGGAAACTTGAAGCAACATCAAAAGGTTGCAAGCTTTTAGGATGCTCCGTCAAAACTCGGAGTAACTAAATAACTACTACAAAAGCAATGGTGCAATCAATTGACAAGAATAGAACAGATAACGTGAGCAACTCAATGAGATATATCTCCATAGAGAAGAATAAGAATAATAATAGATCCTTTCACCGACATCATTAACTTCAAAATATGTAAGAGTATTTTGATACAATATTGACCTAATCTGTCTGCAAATATTAACACCAGTTTATGTCTTCCTCATTTGTCTCGTCGTATGTTGGCTTTTTGCTTCTTTGGGCCTCTAGGAAAACAGGTGGTACTATTAGTATGTCAGGTCTCTCCATCACTGAAGAAAGAACGAGGGCAGCATAAGATACAAGTTTGCCTCAAACTTAGTTTGAGCTGTTTATTCCACTTCACTCCTCCAGGCCAAAGAGAACCAAGGTGGTAAAGACCAATTGCCACCATTACCATATCCCCAAGCACACACTAACAAAACTTCAAAAAAAGCTACCTCCACTTGCTGAACATTCAATAATATTAATGCAACAAGCCAACAATTAGTTCAATAAAAGCTGCATTAATAATGCAACGCAATGATTTCATATTCCTGGAATCTATGTTTAGATGGTCAAATTGGAGAATAATATGATACTTATAAGCTATGTGGCCAACTCAATATAAAACTGCCAGCCCAAGAAGCGATGACGTTTCCATGTCTTGTAAGTACATGGTGGTTGAACTGAATTAGGACCATTAAACTTCGTACCATCTACACATTATGTCATATTCAGAAAATGCGCTCAGCGCTGACAAACTGAAACATAATAACAAGCATGCTAGGACTAACAAGAAACTCTAATTATATATACATAAGCACGTCTGGAAAAAGGCTTCCTCATTAAACAACTCTTTATCAGAAAGAAAAGAACATTAATATAAATAGCACGATCATTTTGCAACAATAATAGACTAGAATTAAGAAGATGCATCTCAGTATAGCCTGATTGACAAACCAGTGAATCTTCGCCTTCCACAGAGTCAGCCAAAAGGGAGATTATGTTGCCCAAATGCTTCTGTAAATAGGATAATTGATGAGCTTCTTCATCAGCTTGTGATGGCATAGTCCTCCGGCTATTGCTGCGCACAAGCTGCTCATTGCAATAGAATGCTTTCGTCAGTGTTCCGTACATGAAAGCAGTTACTTCTATGAAGCAAATATAAAAAAAGGTTGATATATGAAGCCTCAAGCCCAAAGAGAAAGATGAGACCACAAAGGCTTCAACAAATGAAAGTGAAAAGGCTTGCACCCATATAGCCACAATGATTATCTTCATAACATTATCATTAATAGAAACCATGTATGTCATTTGTCTAGAAGTATAGCACTTCCACATGTATATGTGTAAATATCATAGATCCACCAACAACTCAACAAAGATAAATATGTACGTGTGTGTACCTTAAAGGAAAAAGCAATCAGAACGCACAAATCAGTGTTTGAAAAAAGTAAGCATTTCCCTCTATTGTGCAAGTCTAATCACTACTAATTAAAAGGCATGTAAGCTTGTTTTGCAAAAATGATATTGCATCAACAAACATTTTGCTAAGACTGTACACCAACCAAACAAAAAGTAAAAAACGAGAAGCCTTCCAGGCCAAACCAAACTATTGCCGACTTGCCGCTAGCTAAAAGTAGGTATATAGTGGTACAGCCCAATTGCAAACGTAAAAGGTGAATTTTCCTGGGGTTCCAGTACATGAACGTTCCAAGCCACTTCAAATCTTGTTGCCTAAATTCTCCCCAACCATGGCAGCTACAAGAATAATGTCCCCATTTCAAATGTCCTCCTTCACTATGGGGCCAACCCACCTCGAGATTCATGTTTTTACTACACTTGATTTACGTACATGCTGCCTTTCACCCATTCCCTATAAATGATAACAAGTCTTACCACTATATTATGGAACCTAACTTTCAGTTTCAATGAAGATCTTCGATCAAACAAAACTAGGGAAGTTTGTTGTCATTTCAAACCACCATGCTTTCTCTAATGATTATCATCTTCATTGATATATCCATCTATCTGTAAAATTGAACCGAATAACAATATGTCATTCCTAACTACTTCTTGTAAAGATATGATTGTATACTTCATTTACTCTGTTGTAAACAAATGAAATGGCAATATTTATGTAATAGCCGTAGGGTTTGAGGCATCTCAAAAAATATGTAGTGCTTAAGGAAGAGGCTCTCTCCTTATTTAAACACCATGTTCCATGTGGGACACTACAAACATCGTTTTCCGGTATTTGTATATATGGATACAAGGCATCAGCTATGGAGCATTAGAACAAGCACTTTAGGGACCAGTGACTACCAGCAGAAGCTAGATGGCAATTTTGATCAGCCACTAATGGGTAGTAAACGATGAGAATTTGCATTTAAGAATGCATCAATTACAGCATATGTTAAATAGACCACAACCCACAAGAGAATGAAGCAATCTAACTAATATCGACTGTAACAATGAGGACATTTGCACCATCTAGCAAGTAGCAATGACAAAATTATTGCTCTTTGTAACCCATGACCAACAAAAACTAGTCACAGAAACCCATGAATGTCTTGCTTCTTTATCAGGGGGAAGAAATTTCAAGAGAAAAAACAGGGTTATACAATTTACCAACAGAAAAAGCCAAATGGCTTCACCAACAGCGTTCAATTTTGTAAATTCCAATGTAGGATGCTAGTAGAATTTTCTACCAAATAACCTATAGGAGATGAAATAGAGAACCTTAAGAATTGGACAAAATCACAAAAGCAGCTGTTGATGACAAGTTGGCCAGCGCATGCTTCTTGTATACAGTAAAATCATTTTGTAGTACATGGGCAAGTTCACACGTGCAGCTACAAGTGTCAGACTATTCTTGCAACACTTCCACATTTTACTTGCAATAAATTGAAAACGCTATTGATAAACAGGGATTACAGTGCACCAAGAGATGGCCAATGACTTTGGGTCTTTAATTAGTAAATAAAACCTTGGTTTAGTCTCACATCCCCTTAAAAATTAGTCCAGTCACCACTTGTAGATTGTAGAAAAACTTAAGAACAAGCACAAGGGTTTTCGGTTTTCCTAGTTCATAGGCTCTCTAAACAAGAGGTAAGTTCAACTTGGTTACTATCAAGAAGGCACCATGCACTTCAAGGTTCAAGCATAATGAACATTTCACGCTTGCTCCTGCCGACACAACCAGCTCATTAGCCAATCACATACCCCCCCCCCCCCCCCCCCCCCCCGCTTTTCCTATTCTTTTAATCCAACTTATGCACTATAGGCACTCTAAATAAATAAAAAATAACAGTATTCAAACTGGAAATTGACACCTAATGTGTATGTTTAAGCATGTTCCAGCAGACAAAGAAAAGATGAGATAGAATCTTATTAATTGAGTTTAAAACTTAATAGCATGTTGTGGTTTAAAGAATTGGTGCCTGCAAGTTTTGGACTATGATTCAAGAACTCTTGAGAACATGGATACTTTAGTGAATCCTATTTGATGCATAGATTGGTACATCATAAGTAAAGTATGTTATGCCAACTGAATGCTTACATATCACGGTAGTAGATTCATGATACTGGCTTACTGCTAAAGGACACTTGCATTAGAGAGATTTAACGAAATGTAAATAACAGTAGTAAAACCTCTGATGGTACCTAAACAAATGCTTAAGATCATGGTTAGAAGTTTGTTGGAATTCCATAGTCAATATAACCAAAAAACAGCTCCAACTGCCTCAACCATTTTTTTCATCATTAATATGAATCAATTTGCTTCTGTCTATAACAATGCAAAAAAAAAAATTTGAATACTGGTTATCTACTACTACAACCTAAATCTACGCACACCCCTGAACCTTACGATTGCAAGATGCATAGGCTGCATACTAGAAAGGTGCACTTTTGCAGAAAAGTTAGGCCAATAATTATAATATTGAAGCATCTTCATGGTAACTTATTTCCTGACACGCTTCATCAGCAATAGGTAGATACTTGCTTTCAGAACCATTCGGACATAAATTTTATTATTGGAGCATCTAGAAGAAATTTTGAAGAGCCAAGAAATAAACTAGAAATTCTTTTTAAGAAGGTATAAGATGTTGCAAAAGGTCAAACTGACTATAATCTATAGGACTCTTAAGAAGTGGCAAACCAATTTTATTCTATTAATACTCCATAAAACATACATTTAGAGTATTCTGAATAAATTGATAACTCATTATAGTTAAAAAGCTAAACCATTCACACAGTAAATAAGCTAATAATATCATAAATGCACATATACATAAAAATATGCATTCATGCACAAGTCGGGGTCTTAACAGAAACGACCCCTCTACCCTTCGGGGAGGAGTCCTCCACCCGACACTACTTTTGAATGGGATATATTGGGTTCATTTGGTTTGGTTCTTATACAAACATGCATTCATTTGCGTTTTTGTGTGTGTGTTGTATCATCTTCTGTCCCAAGAGTGCATGTTCCTACATTATAAAATCTAAATTATAGCTTTGAATTCATCACATTTAATGCATCATTTCACAGCTAAGCAATTTGTCAACAGAATAAAAGAATCAACGAAAATAAGCACAATTCTCAGATTATAACTGAAAACAAACCATAAAGAACCAATGATATCACCTGCAATGGGGTAAGGGCCGATAAAAACCCATCAAATGCGGAAGTAGACGGCCAAACATCCGCAACAGCGGCAGAATCCTTATGCCCTCGAGGAAGCAACCGTTTGTACGACTGTATGTACAAGAAAATGATGAGATCATACACATTGACACCAACGGCATCAACCTCATCCGGCTTCGCGGTAACGAGGGGGTCGGAATCAGAGTGGAGAACCGAGGCAATTATATCAAGGACAAGGCGGGCGTGTTCGGGGGAGATCTGTAGGGATTCAGCAACAACAGCGGAATTAACTCGATTGTGTCGATTGTTGATAGGAGGAAATTGTAGCAATTTGTCCCGGAGGGAGGTTAGGGTTTGTGAGCCATCGGTGAATATGAGTTTCTGTAAAGGTACGAGGCCATGCTCAAAGGGTTCGCGTCGTGGGTGTATGTATACCGGCAGCGGTGTTGAGGGTTGTTCCGGTGGAGGTGTGGTGTCTGTCATGGTGGTGGAGGAATTGGGGGAATTGGATCTTGGAGTTTGGGGGAATTGGATTTGCAGGAGGATTTAAAGGGGTGTATAACTTGTAAGTGGGGTGGGGGTGGATGTCCAAAACTCCAAATGCAAAATTTGTTTGCTTATTGGGTAATCATGCTAAAATTTTAATTATCCATAAAATAAAATTATATATATTATATTATAAAGCATTCCACAAAAACTCTTAAAAACTACTTTTTATGTATAAAATACTGTTTATTAATGTATGCTACTTAAAACTCAAGATTACAAGTAGATTGTGCGTAAGTACAACTTATTAAAGCTCCATATATGAATTCGTGTAACTAACTGCAGATAAACATAATTAAATACAAGATAAATATCTCATTTTAAATATAAAAAATTTAAAATATAATTAGGATAATTATTGAGTTTTAACATAATACTTAATTATTATCTTTATAAAATATTATATTATTAAACCAAAAATAAATTATTTCATTATTAAACTTAAATTAAATTATAATAAAAAACTAAATTAAAGAAATTACATAAAATGAGAATTTTTAAATAGTTGATTTGATATTAACATTTATGTATTTTTTTCAAATTTTTATGATATCTTCAAATTTATTCAAAAATAAAATCATTATTGTTTTATTAAAAATACATAAAATCGTATTATAACATCGACAACCCAAATAATAAAATAAAACATTAAAATCGAGATATGTCTCGCTGTATTGCACGAGTACTCTTCTAGTAACTATTATATGTAATATGAATAAAAATTAGATTGTTCAACCTCACATATCCTAATTAACTAATAAAAAATTTAACAATATAATTAATAATTACATTAAATATGTTATTAAGATAATTTAGCATGCATTTGTTATGTATGAAATGAAATAAATATAATTTTTAAGTTTTATATAACTTACATAAATAATTTTACAAGTCATTATATTTGTTTTTTTATGACTAAATATATTAAATAATGATCAAAAATAATAATAATATGATTAATTATAATACTAAATAAACAATAATAGTTGTTATTAATGTATAATTAAATTAATTAATAATATAAAATTTATTTATAATTAATAGTAAGTAACAATTAATATTGATCAAGGCTTGTAATTTAATAAATGCAAAAAACTCTTAAAACGTTACTTCAACTAATGTTTCAATAAGTTACTTTATGTTCATCAAGACAGAAACTCGAAAAATAGGCTAGTTTATGTCTGTCAAACAATTTCTTATGGGCTGTTTGGCAATTGCTGAATGGTTTGGTGCAAAATGATTAAGTGGTCAGAATGATTAAGAGGCTTTTATGATATAGTGCAAAATGAAATATAATTATTTGGTAATTGTGTACAATGAAATTATGACTCTTAATGGTTAAGGGAGATCCATGATACAAAATCAATCAGAGAGTTTTAGAACCATTAAGAGTCAATTTTTTTTCTTTTGCCAAACAAGATTCACCTCTTAACGATTCAGAGGTTGTCTCTTAATGAAACTATTAAGAAGTAAACAAACAACCATAGCCTCATCAACAAGGCTTTTGAAGTTAGTATTGCACTCAAGATACAAAAGGTAAAAATGGAGTTTTATTAACTATTAATATTACAGTTAGATAAATACCAGCAATTCCAAGATTAACATCCAAACGTTATTTCATTCAAATGTCATTGTTGTAACTGACTTTTAACCAGTATGGTGATAGATAGGATGGACAGAACAATATTATAGCAATAGTACAATAGAATAGGCTCGATATGGAACAATGCATACTTTTGACATAAATGATCGCACGTCCTACAATCATATAGAAACACATGTTTATTGTTTATTCCTATGTAAAAATAACGGTATTTGGATGTTACAATATACGAACAACATATACATGATGACTTACCTAATTCAATCATTTACTGATCGTTTAAAGATCCCACAAAAAAAAAACAAGCATTGTTTTAACGAGTAAAAAAAATAAGCATTGTAAGGGACTTCATAATGCTGAAAATCAATCAAAACAACCAAAAAAATTCTCTTAGAATCAAACAAAAACACAAAAAAGTTTCTTGAAATTAATCAAAAAACCCGAAAAAGTCCTTCAAACAAAAACGCTAAAAAAATCCCTTGAAAACAACCCAAAAACCTTTAAAAATCCCTTGCAACGTGTAATTAGGCTAAAAACAGGTCGGACGACTTTGCAGGCCTTCTACCTTAAAGGTGCTCCGACCAGACAAAAATTATGAATCCGCCGCTAATTTGTAGTATAAGCTCATTTTCTTATACATTATATTATTACATTATTATATCATAATCTACTGAAAAGTTGACAATTTTTTTATTATTAAAAAGTCAGGGTTGTTTACTTAAATGCTTATCCAGTAAGTGCTCATTGATGTGAGTCAACACTATAATTTATTTTGATGCGTAAGATTTTAGTACATCAAAACGTATTGAATGCAACAATTTACCTGGTAAGCGCTTACGTAGGTAAGAGTCGTCATCTTCACTTACCCGGTAAGATTTTTGGCATTTGTCATCTTCATCATTCTCATTGCTCTTACCCTATAAGATTTTTGGCATTTGTCATGTTCATCCGATGAGGAAATTTATCCGGTAAGCACCTACCAAGTAAGCGTTTAGTAATGGCCCCCTAAGGGGTCGTTTACCAAATGCTTGCCCGGGTAAGCATTTACCAAGTCATATTACCTTATCAGATGACTATGACAATGACCGATAATCTTATCTTGTAAGAGCAAAAGCAAGGACCAAGAATCTTACCTTGTAAGTGAAGGTGACGGATCTTACTCGGTTAGCACTTACCAGGCAGGTTCTTACGTACAATGTCGTTTTGATGGACTAAAGTCTAAGTAATAGTGTTGAATTTTACCGATAAGCGCTTACTGAGTAAGTACTTAGGTAAATAACCCCTGAGATTAGTGAACACAAAATGATAAAAATATGAGACATAATAAATGATATATATTTGTCAAAGAAAAAAAAAGGTATAAAACAAATGAGATATGCAAATATACAGTGGCATGGAACCATTCTTTCATAAACCGTATATCGCATTAATTATAGGTGGTACGTAAAATCAATTATCAAAGAATGTATACCAACTTATTTGGATACTAATAACTTACGTTGGTATAAGTTGGTAGTCGTACATTATTAATATCACAATCCTGTAAAATTGAACACAAATTAATACCCAAAAACAAGTAAAAACACGATTGCAGATCACATTATAAAATACTTTAATACTCAATCCAAAGTTTCAAATAACATCTAACTGTTAACATTCGAACAAATGATGAGCACCAAGTGATGAACTCTTGACGAGTATTTAGTAATAACAGAGTATCGGACAACCAGTATTCTGTATAATGGGGTAAATGGATAATAGTCAAATATATTTTATATGTGTGTGTATTATATATACACCGACCATATTGCATATATATACATTATTAAATACTATAATTGTGCCTACGAAATGTTGCATAATGCATATCTATTTTATTATGGATTTGTATGGTTTCGAGAGAACGAGCGATTTTTTTTCCTGATTATCAGTTTTACAGAGTAGGGTTTAACGTGTATCATGTATTTGAATATATTTATCTTTTGGTTATTAGTTAATTTTATAAAGTTTAGACATATTTGAACATATTCTAAATGGTATACTTACGTTTTTTTTTGTGGATATATTATTTGAAGGGTTTTATTGTTATGCAATCCCTTGACACGATATTTATTACACATCCAAACAACTAATGATTTTAACGACATCAAAAATAGGATGATCCGAATCGTTTTTTTAGATGCATCGTTATTCATTAACATAGATAAAAAAATAAATTACAATTTTATTTTGTTTAAACATAAATTTTAGAATTTTAACGAACAACTCCATTATTTTTTTTATTTTTAGTTTAAGTTAATAAAAACCATCTAAATAAACATATGTTATTGTTTTTTTTTTTTTCTGATTAACCTAGATATCCAACCCGCTATGTGAGCCGACTAATCACAGGGCAACCACCTGCTTTGCATATAGGAAACTTAAGAAGTGAAGATGGCACATATCAAAAAACCAGTTTAATAAATGATCGATTCCATAAATCCATATATACTTTAATGAAAGATTAAGCGTAATTCATTCTGTCACAAAACAAACCAAATAAATTTTTCACACCTTTAGTTTACACGTAAACAACCGCTTCCCTCCTTATTTTATCGTGTCTATATTAACATTTGGAGTAAACTAAAAATCTGGTCCAAGTGGTTTGTTAAAATTAATATTTTTCGTCCTTACGGTTTTGAAATTACAAGATAACCATCGTGGTTTGGGAAAACATCCTGATCGGTCCCTCCCTTTAACAACCTATAAAAATTTCCATCAAACGAGCATTTGTGTTCTTTTATTGATTTTTTTTTTGTCTTTCATCCAATCAAAAACCACATGAACCAAAATCATAAAAATCGATTTTGATTAGGTAAGAAAAAACCGATTAAAGAACGAAAATACCTCTCATTTAAAAATCGATTTTGATTAGGTAAGAAAAAATCGATTAAAGAACGAAAATACCTCTCATTTAAAAATAAAAAAAAACCGTTACAAAAAAATGACCAAATTCAGATGTTTTTGTAAATCACAATACCATTTTGTAGTTTCAAAAAAATAAGGATGATAAGTGTTGTTTTCAACAAACCAAAAAAAAAGAAATTTGTGGTTTACTCTAATACTTACTTTATATATATATATATATATTAATACTTATTTTTCAAAATGATAATAAATGAAATAAAATAAAATATAAGCATTATATAATGTATTTGTATCCTTATGCATTATTAAATGTATTCTTAGGGGCCGTCTAGGGTGTGTTTGGTGTCTAGATGGGATAGAATAACACATGACAGAACATGATAGAATAAATGTTCAACGTTTTGTAAGATAAAACTGGACAGAACATAATAAGTAAAATGACAAATTTACCA